ATTATAATAATGGTAACTCAGTTTAAAGGAATTTTTTAAAAGCTAGCATTCTGTGCTTACATAAAATACAATAATGAATGCATATTTTTTTGTTTTTGTTGTAAAGAAGTAACACAGGATGATTGGGAAAATGCCTTTAAATATAATATGTTACATTAGCATTAAATTTCATGAAAGAAATGTTTAGAAGCATCTATTCAAAGGAAAAAAAGAATGCTGTAAATTTTCTGAATTTGTATAATTTTTAGATGGGTGACAACAGGAAATAGTCCTTAGGGTTGGGATTTCCTGGTACAGTTATAAAGGTCATGGAACATTTTAATTTAAAACCAGCAATACAGTTGTCCTTTGGTAGTGGAAGGAGTTGGTTCCTGGACACCTTGAGAATACAAAAATCCACAGGCCCTCCATGCCTCCTGCAAATTGGCATGGTATTAGCAAATAACTTATGTGTGTCCTTCCACATAGTTATAAATAATTTGTAAACCACTTACAATGAACTGGGTGCAGTGGCACACACCTGTAACCCCAATGGTTCAGGAGGATCGAAAGTTTAAAGCAACTTATTGAGGCCCCAAGCAACTCAGTGAGACCCTGTCTCTAAGTAAAATATGAAAGTGGGCTGGGGGTGTGGTTCAGTGGTTAAGTGCCCCTGGGTTCAATCCCTGGTACAAAACAAAAACAAAAACAAACACAAACTACTTTCAATGTAAATACTATGAAAATCATTGTTACACCCCTATTGTTTAGGGAATAATGACAAAAAATAGTCTGTACATATTTAGTACAAGTGCAATTTTTTTTCTCATCAAATATTTTTCATCTGTGGTTGGATGACTTCCAGAACGTGTAGCTATGGAGGGTCACTTGTACTTAGAATATTCTGGAAATGATAACACTTGCAACTAGCTCCTTAAAATATTGATGACAAAATTTAGATAGAAACCTAAAAACAAATATGTGGAGTGAGGTGGGAGGGTCACAGTTTTCAAATTCTTTTGTGCTGAGTGTAAAATTTTGAAAGAACAATGCTCTGCACATAGGAGGGGCCCTGGGGAGAACACTGGACTTGCGGTGTGGCCGAGGGCCCTCAGTAGATGGTGCATCTACAAGACACTACTTCCTGGGACAAGGGTCCCAGCTCCAACGCTGGCAGGAGGCCGGGGCTCAGCCCGCCTGCTTCTCAGGCTACTGAGGAGTGTCCTCTGGACTCTCATGCTTGACATCTTTTCCAGGTAATGCTCAGGACCCCAGTGCCTTTATTTTAAAGCCGGGTGGTGGCAGGCTTTGATGCTCCTCTATGATCTGGATCCCAGACATCCAGCTGCCCTGAAGTCTCACCAGAATCTACCCGTTACACAGGAGCTGCGTGGCCCCCTACTGGCTGGATGCTTCTTTAGGCCATCTGCAGCGTTGGGGTGCTGGAGGCAGCTCCCTCTGCCCACAGCCTGATCCTGGGTCCCACCTAGCAGGTGGGTGGAGATCTTCAAACCTCTTTGCCTCTGAGGGCTGATGGGGTTGGGTGCAGGTGGGGGAGGTGAGGTGCTGGAGAAAGAGAAGGGTTGACTCTTTGAGACTGCCTGGGAGGAGCTCGGGGCTGGTCGGGAGTGGCACAGACCAGACACACCTTCTGCCTCAGTGCCCAGAGGACCCACCTGGACCCTCTGACTCTGCAGCTGCATTGACCTGAGGTTGCAACGTTCCCAGAGACAGGAGACCTCTCTGCTCTGCCTCTCCTTACTTCCTCCATACCTTTGCATGACCCCACCCTCCAGCCCTGCCCTTCCCAGGGATCCCAGCCCAGGTGCTGTGTTTTATGATCTACTTTCTGAGAGGGATTTGAATTCTCAAGATTACTTATGTTTGCAAAGAGCTGTGCTTATGCACACAAGGAAAGTGTGCTTCCAGCCTTCCCGGGGAGAAGCCTCTTACCCCTGAGCCTGCCTTCACACTGGCAATCCAGGACCCAGGCCGTGGGGGGATGACACAACAAAGGAGAGGAGGTGTGGTCACTCACCCCTCAGCAGGTGCTGAGTGCCCAGTCCCCTAGGCCACCCTGACCCCAGCTTCCAGTTGAACTAGATGTTTGGGGGAGTCCAGCAAGGCTGTCCTGGGGGATGAGAAATGGAGGGGAGGGTCTGTGTAGACGACACGCTGATGCCCCCGTCCCTCTCTGGCCAGCGTGTTGGAGCAGCCGCCCGTTTCCCAGTCTGTCTTTCGGGCCAGGTGTGCTCCCACATGCCACTGCATCTCCCCTAGCCAGCCCAAGACTCCAGGAGAAGCCACTGCCTGCCCCTAGGGACCACCTGTTACCATCTGTGACACAGGTGGCAAGCCCCCGTTTCCGCTCCTGGTGGGAGCCCTTGGGGTGTGGTGCGTTACCTGCCAGGACTGCAGACAAATTGCCTTTCTGGCTCCTCAAAGGCTTCCTAACCTCGCCATCGCACTTTGGTGGACATGGCTGAGTTCCGGGAGGATTCTGGCTCTCCGGCCCTTTCCTTTTAGAAGCAGATCATTTGCCTGTTCAGGCCATGGACACCTAGTGCAGAGAAAAGCAAGAGTTGTTAGGGAGAGAACTGGGCTTCCAACCACAAGTAGGACAGTCTTTGGAGGGTCTACTGAGTCCTGGGCTCATATCCAGGAATTGCAACCCAAGCCTTTTCTACATTTTAATGCAGAAGATTTAATGAATACCTGTATTTTTAATTTTTTTTGTGCGTGTGCGTGTGTGTATTTCACAAATATGCTTTTTTCCTGTAAAAAAGTACAAATAAATTATAGTTTATTTGTAAAGCATTATAAATAAAGCTTCAATTCCTCTTGATGACCCCTCCCATGCCCAACCCCACCCCAAGTAACAGTTCCTTTCCATCAGAGCTGTCTGCCTCCCTATACCCTCAGACGCACACAGTTATGCACCACAGATGGGCAATGCCTTTCCTTTTATATAAATGCTGTCCCTCTGTACTTATTTTGCAATGTGTCCTTTCCTCTCAATGAGTTGCCTGGATACCTTTCCATTTCAGGACCATCTCCTTTCTAATTTGCCATGGATTCTCTAACCTACCCCCAACACTGGATCTTTAGGTTGCTTCCAGTTGATTTTGTTCAATGTTTATGAACAACATCATTGACTTCATTTCTTATGTATCTTCTAGAAAATTTCAGATCAAATACGAGCACAATGCAGTGTGTTTCCTTCCCCACCCCTGCCTTTTGTTGCCCGGAAGTCAGCACACCTTGCACACTGTCTGCATCCTGCTCTTTTTTTCTTTGTCATCAGTATGTATGCCTTGGAGAGGTTTCTGCACAGAGTTCTTTCTCCTTTTTTATAGTTGCATAGTATTCCACGCTCCATAATCATTGAACCCGTTTCATGTTGACAGACACCTGGGTTATTTCCTATTTTTGTTATTACAAATGACGTGTCATGAAGATTTTGGACCATGTGTCCCTTTTCAGAAGTGAAACTGCTGAGTCTCAAGGGAAATGCACTTGTGGATTTTCCTGGGTATTATCACATTTCCTCCACGGAGGTGGCAGTGCCTGCTGTTGCCACGCTGTCGTGTTGGATGCTGGGCGTTCACCCAGTTTCACGAGCAGGACGCGCTGTCCTCTGGACTTTTCGGCTGGTGTCTGAGAGCCCTCTTAGACAGACCTTTTGTCTTCTTTTGCTCATGGTTAATGTTGAGCCCCTCTCCCTTTGCTGAGGATCTGCGGGTGGCTCCTCTGTTGGGAACGGCCCGTTACTGTCCTTGGCCTGCTATCTTGTTGATTTCTGTTCCTGAGGGAGCCCGTGGATGTTCTGTAAATCGTCCCTTGTCTGGGATATCAGTCACAAGTATTTTCCCCGGATTTGTTTCAGGCTTTGACTTTTCTTTTGGTGGCTTCTGTGATCCCAAGTCAGTGTCCTGCGTCACTGGCTGTCCTACCCCACACTGTGGCTCATGCTGGCCCCTCACCTGCGGGGGCCCTTTAACTTCCTAGCAGGGAGCTTGTGCTTGTCCCATTGGGCGGGACTGGCTTGCCACCCTCCTCCATTCCTGGTCCCCTACCAGGTCTGGGGACTCCTTCCTGACTGCTCTTTTCAAATCCTGCCCCGCCTCTGCTTCGGGTCACCTGAAGGTGCCCTCTGCCTCTGCCACCTGCCCTTGCTTTTTTTTCTCTGTCCCTCACCCTAGGGCTGAGTGTCTCATACACAGATGGATGGACGAGTCCTTGCAGCTGTGACCTGCCTGTAATGTTTAGTGACTCCCTTTCCAGAGGACTCTTGTGCCCCCAACAGCCTCGTGTTGGACAGCAGGAGGAAAGGGGGTGGACGAGAGGCTGGCTTTTGTGTCCAGGGCTGTACTAGGGTCTCAGCAGCACTCAGCAATGAGGAGTTGTCGAAGTCTGGCTGGGCACAAATCAAGAGCCACTCAAGCAGGAACAAACTTTATTTCCGAACTCCACCAGCACACTCCACACACGCTCCCCAGGAACCTCCCGAACGCCACCCACGCGGCTCCTCCAGGAACCACCACACACCAACGGGAACACCCCCCCAACTCTCCCGGAACACCACCGGGCTGCGCGCGCACTCAGCGCACTCACTCTTGGAACCCCGGGAGAACAAAACGGGAACTCTAAAGTAGCGGGTGCCTGGAGCGGACAGTAAAGGTCTAATATACAATTGAATACACAACCTGTTTCAATCCAGCATCATCCAGGCACAGCAATTATAGACAGCTTAACTTAATATCATCCTCTTAATGGCTCACAGCCTGTTTCAATCCAGCATCATCCAGGCACAGCAATTATAGACAGTTTAACTTAATATCATCCTCTTAATGGCTCGCCTCTCAACCATTACTTCTGGCAAAATGCCAGGGGCCATTCCGATTGGGCTGTGGCTCTCAGCAAGGAGTGGCTTCCAGACCCCTGGCGAGGACTCTGATGGCCCCGTTTATCTTTACTTTTCTGTGTCAAATCTAAGAAAAGTCAACAACCAGGGCAGAATATTTTTTTCAGTGAGATTTATTTCAGAACCATTGAATCAGTGTGATTATACTTTCTCACTCATAAATATTCCCCGCCACATAGTCTGAGCACATCTATTTTCAGCCCCAAGGGGAGGACTAGCTGCAGCCCGTGCACCAGGCCTGATCACAGCCATTCCACAAGCACTGAGGAGGAGGCTCCCTCCCGGTCACTGCTGCCGCCGGTCCCCTTGAATGAAATAGATCCACCCATCAATAAATACATAAATAAGTGGGTAAGCTGATGCTCATCAGAAGCTGGGAGCAGAGGAGAGGTTTTCTTGGAACAGAATGTGGCCTGATCCCATTGGGCTGGCGTTGAGGACGCAGGAGAGGAGGGTGGCCAGGTCAGCAGAGGTTCCGAAATGGCCCCTGGGAGGAGAGAGCCATCTCCTGGCTGGTGGCAAGAGAGCTCTGCGAATATGTCCCCACCTGGGGACACAGGTGGGTGTCGGTCCAGCCTTCAGCCATGCTCAGAGCCCTCCTGCCCTCCTCTGCCGGCCCTCTGCCTGCAGGCTACGTCGCTGCCGTGGGCGGCCGGTGAGGCTCCTTAGGACACGAATTCCATGGTGAAGTCTGTTATATCCTGGCCGCTGTTGTTCCCCAGGAAGACGGGCAGGTGCTCCGCCTGGGAGGTGCTGATGTACCAGTTGGGGAACTGAGCAGACTCAAACTCCACCTTGTCTTTGACCTCTATCTTGTTGAACACGAACCTCGGCTCCATCCTCTTCTTGGGGTAACTTTTGGGGTCTACACTCTGCAGCAAAATAGAAACAAGCCTCTTGGTGAGGGATGGGTCAGAGACACTGTGGGAGAGGTGACCCCGGGACGGGACCGGATGGGACACTCAATGAGCAGGTACAGGACCTGGAGCCACACTCCTGAGTTGTCCTTGAGACAGACCCCAGCTTTCTGTGTAGACACTGAAAGAACCCTTCGCCTTCCCTGAATTCTTAGGATCATTGCTGGGGAACATCATGGAGGTGTGGATTTTTTTTTTAAAAGTAAAACTTAGGTCAAAGCTTCTAGGAGTATGTAGTTTCTAGGTACTTTTGCAGTTATTTATTTATTAGAAATGACATCAATTGGAAATGAAGCTTTTGCTGGAAAAGCTGCAGGTGTGGGTGTGGGGGGTGATCTTGGAAGTGGAGATTGATGACAGGTCCCTTCAGTGGATGAGTTCCCCCAAAGTGTCATCCCGGAAATGGAGAGACCCTCCCGGTGTATAATGCACCTAGTCTTAACAGGGTCTGATCTGTTGGCACGGTAACAATGGCTGGGCATGAGGCCGGCAGCGAGCGACCAGGTTTAATTTTCTGCCGGGGTAGTGATGTTTGCATGCGTTAAAAATCACGTTGAATTTATTTGACATTTATGTAAAGTTGTCAAGCAGCCCAGCTCCCAGATTTTTAGGGGCTGGGGGTGGGAGGCAGGTGGTATCCTGGGAAGCAGGGGGCGGCCACGGCTGCCCCCGGGGTGCTGAAGGACCTCCCCTCGTCTTGACTCACCTCCAGCTGCAGGGTGGGCTTGTCCCCCTTCATCACGCAGGTCAGGTACAGGTTCTTCCCCTTGATGCCCAAGGCCACGGGTGTCTTGCTGTCATTCCCTTCTCCCAGCACAAAGCTCATGGAGAACACCACTGGGGACAAGGGCGGGGTCTCTGGTCAGGCCACGCCGTGCAGGGTGGGCCCAAGCACTGCCCGCCAAACCCGGGACCCACACAAGTTAGCTCTCCCTGTGGGAACCGCTGGCCTGCACAACAGCAGGGTCGGGGGCTGGTTCCGGGATTCCCCAGAGAAGGCCCGATAGGTTCACAAAGCCTCTTGAAATGGGGACTAAGGGGGACCTTGAAATGGACACTAAGGTCTAAACGCTGAAGGACGGCAGGAAGTGATCTTGTCACTGGCCGCTGTGTGCCCATCCTCAAGAGTAGAACAACCTGATCACTACAGAAGGACAGGGAAGGCAGTGGTGGACACCTATCATCCCAGCAGCTCAGGAGGCTGAGGCAAGAGGATCATGAGTTCAAAGGCCAGCCTCAGCAACTTAGTGAGGCCCTAAGCAACTCAGCGGGACTCTGTCTCTAAATAAAATATAAAAAGGGCTGGGGATGTGGCTCAGGGGTTAAGTGCCCCTGGGTTCATTTCCTAGTACCACACTCACACAAAAAAAGAGGCCAGGAGAGATAATGCTCCCTGGCTGGTAAATTTCCCTATCAGGACCCGTGTGGTGGGGGTGGGAGGGAAGGGGGGGGGCGCAGGGCAGCGCCAGGCCCCGGAAGGGCGGCCTGTCTCCCTGATATTCCAGCTTCAGTCTCCACAGCAGGAAAGGGAACCCGCAGCCATTAGTGCCTGTCCATCAAATGACCCTGCACCATGGGAGCGTTGGCACTGCACCCTCCCGTGGGGCTTGGGGACAGTGGTCCTGAGACTGCTGGAACAGGCTGGTCACCCTCCCGCCAGCAAACGCGCAGGTTGATGCTGTCCAGCTGGCCTCGTGGCTGGGCCCAGGGTCAGTGTCGTGGTGGCTGTCCCTTCCCAGTTCTGTTGCTCTGGGGAGCCCTGGCAAGCGGCCTGCAGGCCCGAGGGGACGCCAGGGTGCCCCCAGCTACCTTGTTGCCTTAGATTCGGTCCATTGAGGTGCAGAGCTTTGAGCTCACACGGGTCAGACAGCACCAGGCTCTTCTGCTGGACGTCACGCAGCCGGCAGTTCAGCACCGGGACGGCCGCGTCATACTCGTATCCGTCGTCATCCCAGGGGTCACAGAAGATGGGCTCTGGAATCAGGAGACAAAGGTCGTCAAGGCAGAGCCAGCGGGGG